ATTCCTGCAATTAACTTCATGTGATCCGTATTTTGTCTCTCATTAGCTGTTATTAATTACTTTCGCGCGAAATGTTTTCGCGTCGAATCAGATTTCTCCCTCTCGCAAAGGAGGAAGGAATGAGTGAGAGTGATAACATAACAACAAATGATTTTTTCTTTACTTTTTTAACTTCGTTCTTTTATTCAGTGGAATTAGATTCATTATTTTGAGCTCAAAATTTACAAAAGTTAAATTACGTCAAATTTTTGCTTTCTGTTCTTAGTTAAAACTGAGCCATAACGCACATGAACGTCAATAGGCTACACAACTGATTGACAGTTATTGATTCATTCATTTATTGTAAAGGTTTATTTAATAATTGTCGCCTAAAGGAATCATTTTACAGTGTACGTTCTCAATATATCTTATCCGTCATTGGAAATTAATTAAATATTTGTCATTTAAAGAAATCATCTCGGTTCCTTCCATGTAGTAACTCCATCGTAGAAGATATATCTAGAGTAAGCTATTCCAACAACCACTACATTGCATTCAAAGAAAATTGAATACACTGTTAGACTCAAAAGTACCAAAAAAATGGACTGTATTGACTACGTTAAGCTGGAAAACAAAGGTTTGAACAACATCGACTCTAACAGGTAAATGAAATAATGATAGCTTATTACTACATTCTTTTATTCTGATTTTCTTTTGTAAAAGAGCAAAGGACACTTAACTTGTTCCATAAACTGGAAGAGTCGTATCATGTGGATTTATATTAACCACTAGCTTAGTTATCAAATATATTTCAATGTCTCTTGAAGGTGAAGTTTTCTTTCAGTTTAAATCCAGACTAAACGAGATTTCAGCTAGATTATGAACTGTTGCCAGCTCTCTTCTCTTACAGTCGACAATTTCGCACGCGCTATCTTCTCCACCCTGTACGTGCGAGAAACTTAACTCGCTCCAAGAACTGTTCCACTTTGGTTTCAGTGACGCCTGTGTAAGGCATTGTTTTTACTCCATCTGAGAATCATCAGCCTTTTGTCCAGTGATAACGTTGTGTGCCGAGCACTCACAGCTTGGACAGATGCGAGGAGAACAGCGACGAATTGGACGGCAAGTCAAGAAATTCTCCTGAGGAAGATTAAACAAGAACATCATTTTAGTTTGACAAGACTATAGGTTTATTATTATCATCACTTCAAATTCTTTATCGAATTCACTTTGTTTTGCAAGGACAGCATTCAAGAAAATTAATTTGTTGCTCACCTATTTTCTGGCAGGTTTCAACAGCCTTCGCGCTGCTTGGAACTGAGATTAAAACAGCGCCATCAACACTACGAAAGATCACAGTTAAAACCGTTTAGACTGTAACATTTTAACGTAAATAAAGCTTGGAGCTTGGCACGATCAGACATAGTGGAAATTAAGTAACCACGATGGCGACGCCAAAGACAACGTCGATAAAAACCTGACTTAAAATTTTACTTACAAGTCAAAGCGATATTCTATAGTCATTTATAACTTTGTTTATCACTGTTTTTGTTCATGTCGAAACTGAATCTGAAACACAAGTTATATTAGTCGTTGTGGTTCACATTCTCCAGACAACGCAGAATTTGGTCATTTCACGTTGTTATTTTGCAAAGGACGGCAAAGAAATGCACCAAGAATTATAACGCACGTGCACAGCCTCTGTACTGCTCAAAAACCCTTTTGTTCAACGACGTTCCCATGCCGTTACCGTTGTGGTTCATTTAAACTCCTTGTTGATGAACAAGAGCCGAGAAATTTAGTATGCACCGGGAACCGCGTGGTTTTACCTTTTAGATGCTTTGAGGACTCGCAATTCGACCAAAGCCATAACAGAATTCCTTAACAAGTCGAGTGAGAGGACTTCATAGAACTTGACATCTCCTGAAGAAAACAACATGCACACAAACTGTTTTAAACAGTGACAGAAAACCAGTAAAAAGTGCATTTTGATTGTGATAATATATAGTAAGAATAAAAGCGATAGTTTCTTTCTGTGGTTCAATTTTGTAGAACATCACTTGACAGATGGCGAGAGCTAATTTAAACAGATTATAGATTGAAAATTATAGATGACAGATAGATTATTACACGTGAATAGAACTACCCATTTTATCTTGTTTTCATTTACGCCGGCTAAAAACAAGATAATGATGCTATAGT